ATATAAAAAAATATCTGTTTGATAGAAGATTTGCAAGGGAATCTCACAACTGAGGAATCAGGGCAGACTGGAACTCTGCCCCGGGTTTGGCAAAAGCTCATCAAAGCCAAAACTGAACTGACATCATGAGCTCATATTCTCCAGTGAAAAAAAAAACTTTTTTTTTTTTTTTTTGAAGACCCACAGGCTTCTGATCTTGGATCACTTGGTACCTTCTTTCCCCTTCTATTCTCTTTTTAAATTATAAGTTATTTCATGCAAGGCCTAATAACGTACCTTGCCTGAAGCTCTGGTTGCTCCAGAGTGTCCCCTGGAAAACACAGGATTTCTACACTACCAGCCTGCTGAAGTTGTCCTTTCACTGTGACAGCATCTATAATGGGAAGGAAGGACAGTTTTGGACCGCCACTGCCAGCTCTCTGTTCTCATTGTGTATGGGCTGCAGAAAGGCAGCTGGAAGCTTCCCTGTTCGTCTCTTTCCTCCCCGTTATTTTCAGGTTTCTTAAAAAGACTGTGTGGGAGCGGCAGGGTGTACAGACACATGCTGACAGCATCAGGATGGAGGAATTAAATGGAAAACCTCCTCCATTGGTATCTAATCATACTACTGAGCATTACATAAATGTCCATTTTTATCTCAAACAGCCTGCCAGGGACAACAGTCAGTCACACTTCTCCTCTCCCTGAAAGGTCTCTCAGAGAGTAGAAGTACTGGAGGACTTGAAGCTCAAACACCTGAACTTATGAGAACTGGTAAATCATAAACATTCACCTTAGCATAACTGTGACATTGTCTAGCACTACACTGATTTAAGACCTGAATATTGACCAGCCAGAATAGAATCATAGAATCATAGAATCCTTTAGGTTGGAAGGGACCTCCAAGATCATCAAGTCCAACCACCGAGCCACCAGGGCTCCAAAGTCCTCTGCCAAAACAGATCAGAATCTGTCAGGGTTGGAAGGGACCACAAGGATCCCCCAGTTCCAACCCCTCTGCCATGAGCAGGGACACCTCCCACTAGATCAGGCTGCCCAGAGCCTCATCCAGCCTGGCCTTAAAGACCCCCAGGGATGGGGCCTCAACCTGTCTCCTGGCTTCAGCAGCATAGAATTCTCTCCCACCAGACACATCTTCAGGATTAATTTTTCACCATAAAGCTCTTCTGCTTGATATTTCCAAAGCAATCTAGGAGTGTTTAATATTTTTAAGTAGTGAGCATTTCTGGCTTATTTCAGCATTCATTATAGTTGCAGTGGTTCAAACCTCCAGCATAGGCAGAAACTGCCTTGAGCTGAAACTGAACAACTATCTAATAAAATAAATTCATGAGATGAATAGAAGCTGTATAGTTGAAGTGCCCTGAGCATGCTTGGAAGATTTATTTCCTGGCTTTGTCTGAAGGGTGTTTTATTAGGGAGGATATGACTCTATGCATACACATCCATAAGGGAGAGAAAAAGATCTCCAGTATAAAGGGGAAAAGGGGCATTTACACTTCTTGAGGAGATGCCATGGGGAAAGCATTCCTTATTTCACATAGGCCTGTTCTTTTTACAGCTGCATTTCCTGTGAGAAAACAGTTGTGAGTGCCTCATTCATGGCTGTAAAGTCAAATTGCCTTGCAGTTGTGGTACACACATAGAGGCGGTCAAAGCTGGAACATCTGAAGGCTGCACTGTGGGGCCTTGAACCACAGATAGGGAGAGTTTGTATTTGAGCTCAGATGAGGAAAAGGCTGCCAGAGAGGATTCTGTAGCCAGATTCAGATTAAGGGGAAATAAGTAATAAGAAAAAAAAAGCACATATAACCTCCAGAGCATTATCTCCAAGTTCTGATAAAGGAGAGATCTGTGATCATTTCATGCACTCATATCCCTTTGATGTGTGCCAGTCTTACCACGCATTCCTTCTGTCTCTCTCAGCTGCTGCTCCTCTGTTGCTCATAGGGTGCTTGCTCCAGAGGCTGTAAATAGTGGGGAGAATCAGGGAAGCTAGTTCCTGGGATTCTTCTCCTCTCCCTTTCTAGGCTGGATATGTAAAGCAGTGACAATGAACGAGCAGAGGAAGTGTCCTGTTGCTGGCATCCAGGAGGCAGAGCTATCCTGCAAATTAATTTCACCATATAGTTTCAGTTCTGGATTGGAGTGGGATGGAGCCTTTCTGGCTTCCTTCATCTTCTTTTATCAGCTGCTGCTTCTTTAGATGTAAGCAATGAAATGGCACAACATCTTAGAAGAGTTTCCGACCCCTTTGCCAAATGCCATGGAATATGTGTTCCTCTGTTACCCCACAAGATTTTTATTTTTTTAATAATATTCTTTCATTCTCAAGCCTGCAATGCACATAGAAAGTGTTGCTTCCCCCTTGTCTACCTGACTTTGAAGCATCATATTCACAGACTCTGCTGCCATTAAGATCATTGTGTCAGGGTAGCCAGGCTGATGCAGTTAACAAAGCCATCTACACCCACTGTCTTTGCTTGCTAGAAGGCTTTCACTTAGGTGGTTTACTAAATTAAAATGTACTTCCTCAAGCCCTCCCTACAAGTTGAAGTCTCTCCAGTAGGAGTTATATCCTATTTTTTTTTCCTCAGTACTGGTGGATCATTATCCCCTTTTGTGTTGTAACTTGTACATTCTTGATGCAAATCACCTTGATGTGCTCAGAATGCTCAGAAAGTAACTCTTCCTGTCCTACCTAAGTCACTTACCTGCACTAAGTAGGAATAATCATCCTCTTGTGGCATCCTTCTTTCTCTTTCCCCCTTTCTAGGGAATGTAAAGATGGTTTACTTCAGCTCCATAATTTCTAGACAGATACATATGAGTGAGCCCACCACTAGCTTTAATCTTACAGTCAGACCCATCCCTCATATATAATGGTAACATGAAGAGTAAATAGCAAGAGAGTTTGTTAGTGTCATGGTTACAGGGGCTGGGACCAGTTTATCCTTATGTGGGTAGAACCAAAACTGTATATTCTATACTCTCTATGTCAGTGCTCATGGGCTGTTAAGAAAATCATGGGTAGCAGCTGCCCAGGACAGACCTCACACCCCAGGCTATAACAGATAAGGAAAGAAGTTCAAGGTCAGGGGAGATGTTAACACCTTCCCACCCAGCAGGAGGAGTCCTCCCTGTTAATGGGCCCATCCATGCCTCGCCCCATGACTCATACAGAGCTCCTCCCAGGAGCTATTTCTGTTTAATGGACCATCAAGGACCCACTGCATGACTCACAGACTGATATCAACCCATTGTGAGATGCTCCACCCAGGGGGAGGAACCAAGTGCTCCCACTTGGATATAAACTGGGGTTCAGTACAGCACAGGGGGCCTTACCCACTGGATTTCCAGAGGACAAGAGCTACCAGATCTTTTCTACGGGACCACTGTTTCATCTGGACTGCTACCACCACCCTAACTACAGAGTATCAGGTTGTATTCTGACTCTGTCTGTGGTTTTCCTTTGTATTATTGCTTTTATTTTTTTTTTCTTATTAAATTGTATTTCTGACTTGGAGTCTCTCGCTGGTTTGTTTTCAAACCATTACAGTTAGCCACCCTCTAGCTTGAATGATACCTTTTGTCTTCTCCTTGGCATGTAAAATACTGTCCTACATTCATGTGCTATTCATGTGGGAGTAACCTGAAGCAGTCTGAATGTAGGAAAATCTGTACTTGTAGGAAAAGCCATGGAGTTGCCTTAAGCAAGGCAACCTTACTTGACCCTCCTCCTTCCTTTACATCTGGCGTTACTTGAAGCTGGGACAGAGAAGAATGAGGGGACTGAGACTAAGGCCAAACACTGGCATGAGGCATGCAAGAGCTGAGCAGGTTTTCCCCCTGCCTTTCTGACAGTGTTCATTAATCCTGAGACACAGTGCCCTCTGTCATTCCAGCTCTTGCTCCTTTCCCTTAATTTTTCTATTTATACCATCTGAGCTGCAGTCTCCTTTCTTATGTGCCAGTTTTACACCAGTGTAAATTCATGGATGTCTGTGGATTTGTTCCTGGCTTATACTCACCTATAAAAGAAGAGAATTAGACTCATCAGTTCCAGTCACCAAATGGACATCCCCTATCCATTGGTTCTGCTAAATACTCCTTGTGTTCCTAGTTTTCATCAGTCTGTTCTAACCCACAACAACATGCTGTTATTCTACTCCTGTATTCCCATAAAACATCATTCAGTGGTCCCCAACCCTGTCCTGGTGCTGCTGCTAGAGTTGTGCCAGGGACAGAACATACCTGCAGCTTCCTCCATACTGGGTTGCTCTAGGATAGACGTTTCTAACGTTGTCTTCCCGGGGTCAGTGTCAGTGAGGAGACATCTATCAATCACCTTTTGTTCATCATCTCTTCTCCCAGTTCAGCCTGGCTACCATAGTTTGTACTTAGGATTGCTTAGTGTTTCCCGTAGTACGGTTGAAGAAAGGCAGTTTAGCACCTGGACCTGGACCTTCCTGTTCTCTGCACTGGCCAGCCGGAGGAAAAGGCCAAGACTTGTCTTGAAGAACTGAAGTCCAAGTGCAACATTACATGTTCTTAATAAAGGAGTCATTATATGAATCACAGTAGCAAAATGTTCTCGCAGGGCACATGCCCCACTCCCTGACTTAAGTGTCCATCATTCCACAGGCAGCCCTCACCTTAGGCGTGGGTTAGCATGTAGTCCACTGCGTTACAGAGAGTAGCTACGGAGCCAGGATTCAAGAGTGTCCTTTAATGACATTACTTGTAACTGTTTATGGGACAAAAAAAAATTCCAACTGGCCCATATAACAAATGAAACTCAACTACAAAAATGTAATGCTATTTATTCACACAGCTGCCAGCAAACTCACATGCACCATGAGTCATTCCAGATGTGGATAAAAACAAAGTCTGTCTGTGAAAGTAAGTTTCCTGATCCCGAGGAGACTTGGTTTGGGAGAGGAGCTGCACACTGACTTCAGCTGTACTCGGAACAGACAGGTTCTCCTTCAAAGGGGGAGGGGGAGAAGAAAAGCCATTTATTTATTCCTGAAAAGAAAGGAGGTAGGAAATTGAAAAGCTAATACACAGCTAGACTCATTTATTTTAAAGAGAAGGATGCTTTGGAAGACTTTGCTGCTGCTGCTGTTCTATTACAGTGTTCATGCCACTGTGACCCACAGATGGAGTAGAGGTAAGATTTAAACATAACAAACTATTTAAGAGAGAAATTTGTTTGTAGATGTGGTCTGAAATTGTTCCTTTATACATATGTGTATATAAACACAATTTGTTCCTCTCAGGTCTGGAATTCTTTTTCTCCATTAAAAAGGAGGTCAGCTAAATAATTGTATAGACTAATAGAAAAACACACATGCATAAATTCATAAAGGTAGAATTACATATGTGTTTTATTATAATACAAATATATATATATATTAAAAAAGAAACAAACAAACAAACAAACAAAACAAAAAAAAAAAAAACAACCAAGAAACAAAACTATATTCTTTTCTCACATTTTCCTTTCTCTCTCCTTTTCCTTTTATGGCTGCATTAACAAGAATTACAGGTCATGAAACCTTAAAACAAAATCCTTTGCAGTGACAGGCAGCACAATGATCTGTTCCACCAGGCAAATACCCAGTAATGGCAACCACAACAGAGCCTGGATTGTGCCTTTGACCCTGTCCTGACAGAGTGCTACAAGTAACAGAGAAAGCTACCTGTAGTGTTATCAGGCTTCTACCAATATGACAATATGTAGCTGTCACATATTTGTCACATATTTGCATTCGTGTGTGTGACAGTAACACATGGGGTGGTTTGGAACTACTGGATAGCATAGCAGATGCTTGCTTAAAAGCTAGCGGTGATGTCCTTTCCCTTTTCTGTTTTATTCTCTCTGGTATTTGGCAGGGGTTTGGCAGCTGCTGGAAGTGGAGAAAGGAAACACCTCCCAAAAGATTTCTTTGGTTCTGACATTGGAATCCACACATATTTAAAGGAACCAGAGACCGTTAAACCAAACACTCAGATGCTCCCCCACCCACCCCAAACTCCCATGTCTTCCTCATTATAGTTGGTTCATTTCTAGTCTGCTGTTTGGCTTTGGTTTTGTAGGGCAAATGGCTGAATGAAGCAATGAAGAGCAATGCAATTCTGTTAACGTTGTATGAATCTCTTTATTGTTCCCTGCCGTTATTGGGGGCTCACTGGCAGGGCCTTGACCTGGGAATCAGAATGGCAAATGTTTTCCTCAGCTTTTCCATCAGCCTCTTAGATGATACCTCATGAGCCATTACATTATACCTGCATGTACTGTAGTTTTCTCTTACAGTAACATAGAGGTAGTGACACCAACTGTCATCATAAAGTCCCTTAATTCTGTAGATAAGAGTGTGTGTTGCTAGGAATGATGCATGAAAACATGAGGAAATCAGAACTAGATCTGCAAATATGAAAAAAAATAAATAAAAAAAAAACAACAACCGTACCTTTTGGAAGAATGAGGTCACCTTACTTATGAAGTGGAAAAAAAAAAAAAAAAAAAAGTTCATTTCCTTGGAATAATCGCTACACAACTTAAGGATACTCTTTGCTTTTGTTAGCACTCTTATTTTAATAAACAGCAACAACAACAACTCTAAAAGGAATCCATACAACTATTAAAGCCCAATTTTAATCACTTAATCTTTAAAGGAAGAGATCAGAACTCTATTGTGCCTTTTGGGAAAGCAGATTGTTTTTAACCTCGAAGCCCTACAGTTTGTTTTTGGAGATTTCAGAGGGAAGAGAAGGTTTATTACTTGTTGTGATAAGGAGTTCAGTTCTCACAAATATTGTATATAGGCTTCTGCTGAGTAGGGAACTAAATTTATTCTCTGCAGCTGCTGAGACTATTCAGCTCCAAGTATGTTTTAGAGGCATGACTCCTTCAACAATAGCTACTCTCAGAGAACTTCCATTCCTCTAAACTATGTATCAGCCCAACCAATCCCATCTTCATCTGCAGAATCTAGAGGGCCAAAGCACCATCCTAATTTTTTAATTGCTTAGAAACCTAAGATGAAAATTGAGTACCAAGGCACAACACACCCTGCCATGCACTCAGAGCTCTTTCCTCCCTCCACAAACGGCAACTGGCTTTTGGATGGGTTAAACCTCAGTCATTTAAGAATTATCCAGTTCCTGAACTGAGTTTTGCAATGGAAAAGCAGCATCTGGTCTGATGGAAATGAAAGACAGATCTGCCTCTCTATGTTGACTAGTAGTTCAGATTGTTTACAAGACAGTAGAACAGAAGGTCCTGCTTTACTTACCAACAATTGTTGTTTGCAATAGAAATGAACAGTCAATATTGGATAAGACATGTTCAGTGGACACTGGCACAGACCTGGAGGTCCAGCCCTTGTAACCAAATATTTAAGCTTTGGCTCAAGAAAGAAATCAGACATGAGGAAAGCTGAACATATTTATGGTGACTGGTGAGTGGGAACTCCAGACTACCACCTCCCTTCTTCCTTTGCTTTTACAAGCATCAATGAATGGAAAAACAAGCATTTCTGGCAAGAAAGCTGAACTTTTTTTTTTTTTTTGGTCTCCCTCAACCATTTGCATTAAAAATCTCACACACTCTTCAGCCTGCTTTGATCCAGCTGTGGACATCGGTGCAGAAGTCACAGGAAAAGCTTGATCTTTAGGATGAACATATTCAGAATAATAAATAAAAGTTCTTTAGTGGTAATTAAATTATTTGCTTATAACCATTGCAGGTTTCCTTGAGCCTCTTGTAGGCTTAGGTGCATGGTATCATCCTCTCAGTTTTTGTGAAGAACCCATCTAGAGAGAAAAGGTAATGTTAGGTCTCTATTGAGCAATATTGCTTATGTGACAGTAAAGGTGAGGTCATATTAATTTCTGAAGATGTCAAATAAGAATTCCAGGTCTTAAGAGATACTTTTGCTGGAGAAATCAAGGAACAAATCCAGTTCTTTGATAACAAAATTAAACAAAAAATAGCATGCTGCTTTTGTAACCAGAGACAGTGTCACTGCTTGCCACCAAGTTGCTTCCATCAAACTGCTCTGATGAATACCAATACATTGGAGAGAAGATCTTAGCTTCAGATCTGCATTATAAGAATTACCTGTTCCCTGAGGAGAAACCTGAAGGCAATTCTTACTAGTACATTTCATCTGAGCTAGATGTACTTTATTTGCTCTAAGACCTTCCTGATTTAAATAAACAGCACACTTGCTACGTGGTTGCTCAGGGAGTGAAGATGCACTAGGATTTCTTGTGGTTGTGGCTTCTTGGACAGTGGGGAAGCAGCAGCAACAATAAGTTCACCCTTCAGTGGAGGATGGAAAAGGAGATATTCAAAGACACAAAATAAGAAGGTAAAACTCTTTTCATCCATCAGTGAAAAAAGGATGTATTACCTATACTCCCACCACTGGGTTTTCATACTTTTGAGGAATAGCTGTGCCTTCTAGACCTCAAATGCAGTATTACAGTTTTACTCAGATCTATTGGGTCCACATGCATTATTTTGTGCCCAGTCTTTAGTGCTTGGTGAAGGTCACATGGTTGTCCTATAACAGTAGGGCAACAGTTTGTTTTCCTTAGAGGTTTTCTGCAGAAGGAATTACTTGGAAGAACAGAAGGCCCATCCTCCTTGATTTCCCCACAACACTGCAAACTTTTAATATTTCTTTAGTGTTGTGGCAACTGAGTCTTTGAGTTCGATGGAACAGCTGCTAGATGAGCTACTTTTGCAGGCTGCTTCTGTTTGTGGGTTTAGCTACAACAGGCTGGTAGTTCTCCAGTGCCAGGAGAGAGAGAACCACATAGAGGAGAAAGAGAGACTAGCAATTGCTAGAAAACCAGCTGTGCCTTTTATAAAGAAGTGGTGTCTAATATATTCTGTACTCTGTGATCATTTGCTGCATACCAGGCTGCTGGTGATTTTGCCATGTGGGCAAAAGATTTGTGCCTGCCCACACCTTTTGACCTTTATTTGCCTCACTGATATTGCATCCTTACAGCCAAGCACTTGCTTCTCTCCCACCTGATATTGCATCCTTACAGCCAGGCACTTGCTTCTCGAGCAGCTTCTTGGACTCCACTGCTGACAGCAACACTTATTTGACAGTTTTGGCCTGAGACAGCATGAGCAAAGGCAACGTGGCCTGAACACAGCATGTAATTACAACACAAATGGTCAAACACATATACACATATATGCCCAGCAGGTCTCGAGTATACCAAGCTATTGTCTTTGGCTTATTTAAGACATGCTGAGGTTTTCAAAGATTTGGTCCAAAGATAAAAAGAAATTACATGAGCTAGACTGGCTTCAAGAACTTGTTAAAATGCAACATCTGTTTAATTTCCTTAAATTTCAATAATGCTATTGTTAAACGATTCATAAAATATGTAGTGGACATAAAAAAATAAAAGATATGAAATATTATGAAACAAAGCCAAGTCTGTCTAAGCCTGGCTGAGTAAATAATGTTTCTTCTTATGAAGAAAATGCAGTATTTCCCTTTTCTATGGCTCCCGTGTGACCATTTGGAAAACAGCCTCAGCTGCCCCAACTTCTGTTTATTGGACCTATTCCAGTGACCTCACTGGAGCTGCAAAAGGCTTGACTGATCTGCTGCAGAAGTTTTTTCCAACTATCCTGATTCTCTTTTGTAAGCTTGTACTAGTTCCTGGGAATGGATGTTTGTAAGCTAGAGCCTGATGTGAATTATTATTGCATCAAGTATCACAACTCTACCTGTAAAGAGTAGAAGGCATTGTCTGAAGGGCAGTCAGAGATTGAAATTCAAAGGAATTAGCTTTGCAGCTAGATGACCTGAAGAAGGCAATTTATATACTTATATTTTTACTTCCTGAATTCCTTTACAAAGACCTGTGTATAAGAGATGAATAAAAATGTATGTCATAGACCTAAAAATAGATCCTTAAAAAAAACAATTGTCCTACACTGTAAGTAGTAGGAAGGAGGCATTAGAAGAATATTTTCTGCCCTTTAAAAATTAGAAGAAAGCAAAGACAAAAAAAAATTTTTTAAGCATATCTGAAAAAAAATTGAGAATTAATGAACTAAGGAGGCAAGTAGGATATCTGCATGGCACAATGGTGTGTGGAGCAGAGAATATAGATCCAGCACCAAGGGAA